TATTGACTTCTCTGCCCCTTCATTTGGAGAGAAAATTAACAGGAGAAAGGAGAAAGAGATGGGTAGTTTTGATGACTATGTAGCTAGAATTTTTTCCCTTCTGATTTGGTTAAAGAACACTATCCTGATTTAAATACATCAAGTCAAATGAACTCTACTAATGTCAGGCTTTCAACTTGGCTAATGTCAAAGAGATAGCAGAAAAAGTTCTTGTTATTAAGCAACTCATAGTGTATTTTCTTCTGTTGCGGTAGGATGATTAATAGAGTAAGGTGGGAAATATCCTCCACAAACTAAGAAGTAAAAAAGCTTTAAAATTGTTATGCTTTCAGGTTTTCCACTTTAAATATTGCTTCTTCACTAGATTTGTGGCAGGAAAGGATTTGATGGATGTTATTTTTAACAACAGCTGGGATAAAGGTGGTATTATCTCTTAATGCTGGAAAGGTGACCACAGATAAGCATTTGATAAGGAGGAGGGAATGGGAGGCCATTGGTTTCCAAGAAGCTGGCCAGTCACTCCTCTGACATCATCTTGGAGTCAGAATTATAATTTGGTAGGTACCTCTGTGCACTTGGCCTAATGCTTCCCTTTGTATCATCAGAAGTTTTTGTCTAGTGGTCTTTTTTTTTTTTTTTTTTTTTTTTAGAGAGAGAGAAAGAATTTTTTTAATATTTATTTCTAGTTTTCAGCGGACACAACACCTTTGTTTGTATGTGGTGCTGAGGATCGAACCCGAGCAGCACGCATGCCAGGCGAGCGTGCTATCTCTTGAGCCAAATCCCCAGCCCTCTAGTGGTCTTATTTTCTTTCAATTTCTCTATGACTAGAAGGGAATCTTTTCCTTTATAAGATGACTTGTAGAAGAAGAGCACAATACTTAACAGCATTTAAAAGTATAGACTTGTGCTGAATTTCCTACTATTTGTTTGTATTTAAATAGAATGATTAATTTGATGGTTTGAAAGCAAGCTTGAATATTCCTGATAGGGGCAGAAAAAATATACACAAAGATTGTTACTATAATCTCCAAAATTTAAAGCATTTTTCCTTGAATTATAAATTTATATTTCAAATCAAATGTGATTTTGTGAAAATCAGGTAGACTATGGTTATTCATGGGTGCTACATTTAAATGTGAACTGCTAGAATTGAAAATTAAATATTTATAGTAAATGCCTTCTAAAGAAAATGGATAATTAATCCATTTTATGTTGCTTTCTCAGGCTTGCTAGGCTATTTTTACACCTAAGGCATTTCTTTCTCAGTTGTGAAAGTATATGTGAAGGAAAGTAATAGACAAAAATTGAAATGAAACTTGAGTTAAACACTGATTTGCTTTACTTCTCAGGATTATAAAAATTCCCAGATAGGGAGGAAGAGCATAAGAAGAAGACTACCACTAAATAGGGAAGAGAGGTGGGAGGGAAAAAGAGGGAGAAGGGGAGTTGCATGGAAGATAGAAGGAGAACCTCATTGTTATACAGAATACATATTTGATGTTGTAATGTGAAAAAGAAAAAAAAGTGTGTCACATTAGATTGGATAGAGAGAAAGGATGGGAGAGGAGGGGAGGAGTAGTGGGGATAGGAAGGGCAGCAGAATAGAATAGACAATATGATTGATGTATGCACATTCCACGTATGTATTATATGTCAAAATACATTCTGCTGTCATGTATGACTAAAAAAAATAAAAATAAAAATAAATGTAAAAAACAAAAAATTCCCTTCTTTAGAGTCTGAGCAGTTATTTGGGGAAATATCATATCCAGGTTGAAACTATACATGGAGGAAAATTTTGCTTTGGCAATTTGAATTCCAGGTTTCCTTGCCCCTTTCTCAATTGTAATTTATGTGCATTTTTTTTAAAGAGAGAGTGAGAGAAGTGAGAGTGAGAGAGGAGAGAGAGAGAGAGAATCTTTAATATTTAGTTTTTAGTTCTCGGTGGACACAACATCTTTGTTGGTATGTGGTGCTGAGGATCGAACCCAGGCCGCACGCATGCCAGGCGAGCGCGCTACCACTTGAACCACATCCCTAGCCCTTATGTGCATTTTTTATGTCAAGTTTTTGTTTAATAATTTTATCCTGTTTCTTCTCTCTCTCTCTAACCACATCTATATTGTTAGTCTAAGGAGTAGCAAGTTCCTATGGGGGAGAATCTCCCATGTTTGTTGCTTTGGGAAGAATCAGTAACACCTAATATACAAATAGTAATTTATACAATGTTTTATCATGACATTTTTTTTCTGTTAAGTAGAACAAATCTGTTGATGCTGTTTGTGTGTGTTGGTAAAATGGAGGGTCATTCTTTAGTAGCTACATAGCTCTCAGTTTAGGTAGGAAGCTTCCAAGAGCTTTGAAATCTCTGGATTAATAATTATAAGCAGTCATGTATTCTTAGGCTAGAAGAAATCTTACTGTTCATCCAGCTTAAATTTTTTTTTTTTCATTTTACAGACCAGGAAACTGAGGTCCAGAAATACGGAGGTTTTTTCCTAAATTACAAAAAACTGCATTGTGCTTACTTGGTACATAGCCTGATATAAAGACGTTGTAAGTTGAGTCATAAATTGCAGTGAACTAATTCTTTGGTATGTTCTTTAGTTTAGAGTAGGATGTGCATCCCAGAAAAGGCCCTGCCTTGACTTAGGAATTTTAGAGAAAACACAAGGACACAGTTATGCAGGGCTCTTGGGCAGGAGTTGGGGCAAATAGTCAATGTGGGCATAGCTGGAGCAATTTATTGAATACCACCCTGGCATTTAGTTATCTCCTTGAATGAATCTAAATTTTTAGGAGAGGGAACCATTGGGATATGAATGTGTTCTTCATTTGTAATCAGTTCTATGTCCTTGAACTAAAAACCTTTATTAACCTTTGTGTATCAGATTCCCTCTCTAGGATATGGTTCTAACCTGACTCCCACAGAGGGCCGTGAATCAATTAATAATTTAAAGGTGTTTTGGTAAATCAGAATAAGAGCCTGTCTGAAGCCGAAGTATGGTTTATTAAGAAATGGTAAAGTAGCTTACTCTTCATGGAATTTTGTCATTCCTGGTGAAATTTTGTTACCTTCTAATTGGGTTTTTTAAATAGCTAAGTTTAGTATTATTATTATTATTTCTTAAAAGTTTATTTTTTTAGTTGTAGTTGGACACAATACCTTTATTTTATTTATTTATTTTTATGTGGTGCTGAGAATAGAACCCAGGGCCTCACACATACTAGGTGAGCTCTCTGTCACTGAGCCACAACCCCAGCTCTAGTATTATTATTATTTTAAAAACTGAATACAAACATGGTTAAAAATTTGAGGTGTGGATTTCTCCCTCTTGCAATCAGGGAGAGAAAGCTGTTGAGTAGTAGCCTAAAGCCCTTCTCTAAAGCAGGCACCAACGTGATAAACCTACTCTATGACTTATATTTTGCTTTTGCAAATAATTTTGCTTTCAAAACTTCACCTGCAAATATCCTTCTCATTTAATTCAAAAGTTAGATGCCCAAGAAATTAGGGATGGGAATTACACTGTAGTGCTGAAAGAATTCTGAAATAGTATGTCATAGGAATAACTTATTCTTAAGGCCTTTGTCAGTTCTACATGTTTTTTTATTCCCTGTGCACATTTCTGTGTGGAAAGTTGCATGTTCCTGGTCAAATTAGGAGCTGTCTTGATTTCTGCCCTCTCCCCCGACCATTTTTGTAGGTAAAAATAATTTTTATTTTGTTACTAAGTGAATATTAAGAATATAGAGAAATACGAGCTACTTTCTGACAATCACATTAAATCTCTGATCTTTTGGTCAGTCACTTCTCATCTTTATAAGCATGAAGGTATAAAGTAACTTCAATGTGTATGATCAGAAGAAAACCTGTAAAAGAGGAATCTGTTTCCTTGAGAGGAAGAGGCTGCTCCTATACTAAAAAAAAAAAACCTATATCCTAAAAAAAAAGCTTACTTTATTATCACTTATATTTGTTATTTTCACCTATTTGACTAATATTTTACTGTTATACATTTTAGAGCAATTTATTACTCTTGAAATTCCAGCACCTCTAAAAATTCAATATAACCAAATATTAATGTAATCTACTTTGAATGCTAATTAATATAATCCATCATTTATAACTTTTATTTAGAAAAGTAAAAGCTTAGAATTTCTCATGATATCTATTTATCTAACAAATATCTAGCAGTATTTGAAGTCACCACAATGTTTTTGGTAATGAGAAAATATTCCCTCTCTAGTTATCCATGTACTTGAATATGTTGGTTATAATCAAAATAGTTTAGATGCTCATAGTAGGAAAGCCCCAAATAATCATGACTTAAGATAGAAGTTTGCTTTTCTCTCTCACATAAAAAAAGTCGAAGACTGAAGTCATAGTACCTAGTAGCTCCTTATTTTCCTATAGGACCCTTGTTCTTATTTCTGTGCTCTATCATTTTCCACTGGATATACTCAAAATTGTCTCTGGATCTGAGCTGACAGCTGGAGCTCCAGCCATCAAGTCCATAGTACCCGCTGGAATCAAAGGGCAAAGCAGAAGGGCAGAAAGGGGGACCCTCCTAATTGAGTCAGCTCCCTTTAAGCAGCTGTTCCAGAATTCCTATATAGTAATTCTACTTACTGCTCATTGGGCAGAACTTAGCCACATGGACACACCTGCCTGCAAAGGAGATAGGGAATGCAGTTTTAAATTGTAGGCCGAAATATTCACAGCTAAAAGATCAGTGTTTTGCTACTAAGGAATGAAGGGAGAATGGATATTCCGGTAGACAATGTCACTGTGATGTTGTGTTCTTATTACATGCTGAGTCTTGGGGCTACCATGTAGAAAATCAAAGTACTTCTTTCTGTTTTTGTTATGAGCAATGGTTTCTTAATTTAGAAATCTGGCTTAATTTAGAAATCCTGTTTCTTCTGTGAAGTACGATTTCTTTATTTGGCAATCTCGTCTGACTCTTGCTTTTTTCTTTCCTCTTGCCTTTCAGCTGTTTTGGAAAGAAGTAAGATTTAGATTTCTCCATGTTAACCATGAGCGTGACACTTTCCCCCCTGAGGTCACAGGACCTGGATCCTATGGCTACTGATGCTTCACCCATGGCCATCAACATGACACCCACTGTGGAGCAGGGTGAGGGAGAAGAGGCAACAAAGGACCTAGATTCTGAACAGCAGTATGAAAAGCCACCTCCACTCCACACAGGGGCTGACTGGAAGATTGTCCTCCATTTACCTGAAATTGAGACCTGGCTCCGGATGACCTCAGAGAGGGTCCGGGACCTAACCTATTCAGTCCAGCAGGACTCAGACAGCAAGCATGTGGATGTGCACCTAGTTCAACTAAAGGTAAGGCTGATTTTGGGCTTAGATTCTCTCAGGACAGAAGGCTGACAAAGGCTATGACATGTGGATCTTGAGTTCTGTATTCCCCACTGAGGAAACGTCCAGGAAGAAAAATAGAGTAACAGGGTTGAAACCATTATTCTTGAAGGTAGGTGTGGACAGAATTAGTTCTTTTCTGATTTTACTTTGTATGCCAATTATCTCCAATAAAACTGGCCTTTGGGACTACAACAGAGAAGTAGGGAAAACAAGGGATGTTAGTATAATGCCATAGAAATCAGTTACAAAGAATAAAATTATTTTTTAAATGATTACAAAAGATAAATTAAAGACTCACAGGTTGAGCATCAAGCTGATCTGATTGTGAGTATATGCATATGGTTATTATTTGCTATTGAAGCTGATGCTGTCTTTGTGGCAAACAATGGATTCTGGCATGGTGGGGAAGGGCAATGTTCTCTTTTTAGAATAAAGTCTTTCCTCCAGGTACAATGCATCATGTAGAACAAAGGTTCTTTTGTAACAACTCATCTAAAGCTCAGACATTTAAAAAATGTCTGTGGCTTCTAGAGTCCTTATAAACGCTTGACTCTTGGCAGAAATGAATTGGAAGTGCTATTAAAAAGGGTTAGTGATAGAGTTTTGGGCCTAGGGCCCCTAAAACATGTACTGTGAATTCTGGCCCTGATGTACCCTCTCCTTTCTCTCAGGTCATTGAGGGAAATTCATGCTTAGGTCAATGACCAGCAAAACAAGTTAGGTTTATATCCAATTAGGTTTGTAAACTCCTATGGTAATTTCTAGCCAGTTATATGGAATCCCAAGGAAAATTCTTTTACCTACCCAGGTTTGTCCTAAATGACCTGAAAGAGAAGGCTAAACAGATTCTTGGATCTTAACACTTACATAACTTACAGGATGTAGCCATCAGAGAAGAAAGATAGGCAGTAAAGAGAAAGTACACGCCTCAGTGCTTAGAGATCTGGTTCAGCCTCTCAGACTAATTCAACAAATTCTAGGGGAGGAAAGGGGAAGGGGAAAAAGAGAACAGAGGAGCCAGAATGTCACAAATGGCTGGGCTTCTCCCAGGTTGAGAAGGCCTAGGGTTTCCTTCTTTCTATAGGTTCTTGGGAAGAATGCAAAACAGGGTAACAGAAGATTAGGAACCAGCCTCAAGAGAATGCAAATTCCATGCTGTGGAGACAGGGAGTGATGTGATACAGTTCCAGAAACATTAATTTAATCAGAGGAACAACACTCCAACTCCTTGGGGTTTGAATAAAATAGAAATTAGGGGACTTTGCTTTGCCCTGTCCACTAATGTATGACTCTCATAAATAGATTCAGGTTTGGGATTGTAATGAAAGCAGTTATTACCTTCAGAATCCTTCAGATTTACACAAAAAAGGTAGTAAATAATAAAAAAGAATGGGGCAAAATGGAAATATTTTTAGAAGACCTAACTAAAAACAATGTTAAGGAATTTTAAACATATCGACATGTCAATTAACTTTATTTAATTAAGCCAGTAATGTAAAAGTAAAAATTTAGATTTTAATTCTAAATAAAAATGTGAAGTTTTTGTACAATTAATGTGTGGTTATATTTGGTGTTTGAGTAATGAACCTATAGGGTGATTTCTCTTTTTCTCTTTGTAACTACTTGTCATCATCTCTTACCTGTCCCTATAAGCTCTATTCCTTTGGTGGTCTGTCTCCCCTTCTAAGAAGGGAGTTACAGGATATGAAGTCAACATAATAATCCTATGTAGTTAAACAGTAGCTGTTAAGGTGATGAACTGAGATATCTTACCTTCATTTCATCCTATAATTTCTATCATTACTTTTTTGGGTGCTTTTTTCCTAAACACTCAACATTCTCTGTAATGTTCTCAAATATTTTATTTAATAGAGCCCCTTCACATTGAACCTAGAGTCAGCAAGTTCTGGTCAGGGTGTATGGCCTCTAAAATGGTCTATACAAAGAGTTTGGTTTTATCTCTGAACATATAGTTCATTTCCCCTTTATTTGTGTAATATGTCTTTATGTAATCAAATTTAGTACTTTGATGAATTTTTCAAAAAATGTTTAAAATATATGTCACTTTTTCAGATTTCCATATTGATTCATAAGACTTCAGGGGAACTTGGCACAGTGTTTTATATGTGGAATTTCTTGTAGAAGTACCTCTCAATAGAGACAGATGTCTGGCGAGGTGCAGCTTGGGCAAAGCCAACCATCTGCTATGTGGTGTCCCACTTAGCTCACTTTACTTTAGTCAGTTACTCAATCTATTCATTTACAGTGAAAAATAACCACCATGAGATGGAAATGCCTATGGTTTTAAATGCCATCTAGGTATAGATAATTTCTAAATGTATATCCATTCCAATGTTTTCCCAATTTTAGGAGCTCCAGCTGTCTAACTGACATCTTCACTGTGTCTTGGTGGACATCTCAAACTGGATGTGCCCATCAGAGAGCTCTTAATATTCCTTCTTTCAGCAAAAGGCACCACTTTGTACCAAACCAAAGCACAAGTATCTGCCCTACATGTGTGTTTATCAACAAGAGAATATCTCCCCAAAACATGCCCTAAAGTAATTTACTTCTGCTCAGCCTACTGTTGCCTGATCAATCCATATCACTGTTTCCTTGGGTTGCTCAAAAGCTTCCTAACTAATTTTGCTCTCACTTTTCACCTTTACCCCCTTCCATTTTATTCTCTACTTAGAAACCAATGGGATTTTTTTAAAAAAATGTAAACCAGATCACTTTGCTTCCTATTGGATTTAAAGTAAGACTTAAGATCTTTGCCTGTGACTCTGCACTGCATTCTTCTCTAGCCATGGCTCTTCTTACCTTCCACCTTGTTTATAAAACTCCAGAGGCATCAGAAGTTCTAAAGAAGTGTTAGGCTAGTTCTTGTCTCACAAAAATTTTCCTTCTTCCTAGAAACTCTTCCCCCATTATTGCATGACAGATTTTGGATCCTCATCAGACTATCAGTAAGAGGCACAGTCAAGTTCTAACCTCTGTAGACACAAGTCTGGGAGAGGATTGGGCAAGAGTTTGGAATAAGAAGTGGAGCCTGTGCTATGTTTGGTGAAACACACACACACACACACACACATACACATACACATACACACAATGTCCACCTTATCTATATATATCACACTGCCACTCTTTTTTCAACATAGTCTTCTCTACCATTATTTAGTATATTACTTTAAAAGTAAAACTTGGTTGGAAAAAATGGTTTTAGAACATGCACAGGAGTAACTCTGCCAATGATCCTAAATTAAATGTCACTTTCTCAAGCATTTCCTTATTCCTACTCTTAAAACATCCAACCCTGCTCCAAGTCTTTGTCTAGTCTATTACTTAGCTTTACTTATTTATTTTGTTGATATTTCTTTTCACAGATGGAACCATCCTATTTATTTGTTTACTTGTTTATGGTCCCTTCCTCAAATATCTAATTCTCTACTGTATCTCTCTTCCGTAGGACAGGGTTAGGCATTTGGTGCCAGTCTAATTCATACCTGTAGTGGATAGGTGAGTCCAAGTCTTTATGGTCAGTGCCTTTCCCCCCTATAGGCAGACTTGCACTGCAAGTCACAGAAGGAAGGCTGCTCAGTGAAGAGTGAATCTGGACAAAGGCATTAGATGAATCAAGACCAAAGTATGTTTGCTATATTACTTTTCCATCAGGGAGGGTTTGTGAATGGTTCTGAAGTCTTGGAGATCTTGCCTGGGAAATCTTCCCAGGAGTGTCTATTCTTTCTGTAGGTAGCTATGCCTGGCTCCCTTTATCGCTCATTTCTGACTCTTTGGTCATGGTTTTGGTTAATAAATGTACTTTCGGTTCTTCTAGATTGAGAACCACTCTTTTTCTTTAAATGCAACTATTTATCTTGTGGTCATTGGGTTGCTCTTAGAATTTATTCCTCAGAGAACACTATTACCTCCCTTATTTCCAAGTTCTTAGGAGACATTTTACTATAATCTCTAGGTTGAACTGCAAACATACACTATTATAAAGTTCCCATGGGGAGAGATTGTTATTGAGAGTTAACAAAATCATCTATCCTTAGCTTTAAAAAATAGAAACAATGAAGTATACTAAATACTTTCTTTCCATTATTTTTAAAATTGAAAATGCAGTACACATATTTTGCTTCATAGCTTCCAGATATTCTTTAGTAAGAAGTATGGGAAAGCAGCTGAACCATTTTTAGAAAATCTGACCCTCCTCTCTGGCTTCAGAAGCTATGCTATACATGAAAACCAGACCAGATTTTAATGAAGACCTTTGACCCGTGTGAGTGTATTTGGGGTCTAAACAGGCAAGTATGAATCTCTGCCTACTTTTAGTCTTCTAAGAATGTTATTTATATTCCTGGAAACATGATAACAATAAGGAGATAAAGCTTAGAGTGGCTGGCATAAATTAAATGATGTAGTTGGCTAACAAACAGAAATCTGGAAGTGACTTAGCTCTAATCATTTACCTAAAAGCGACTTAAGATAAACTCAATTCTAAACCACCTCCACATATGATTCATGTCTGGAACTCTGATTTTGGCCTGATTTTCAAAGTTCAGAGCCTGTGTTTACAAGGTGTTTTAAATGGGCTATACCTAGACTGAGATGTGTCTGTCACACTGATACCCAGTGACTCACAAAGGGTTTGGAGGGCCTCCTGGGAGAAAGGCTTGAATCCTCTCCATTGCTGGGATTTGTACCTGATGGACTGATGGACAGATGTGCCTGATGGACTAAAGATGATGGAAATCTAGGGATGGTGAAGTTCCTATGAGAGGATTCACTGTCACCATGGCACAAAGAGTCTGCTCCAGTGTGGGGGAGAAAGAGTAGTGGTGATTTGTGATACAGTGTGTTTCCAGCTCTGTAATCCATCCTGAGCAGGCACCTTGGTAGTGTGGGTAATTAGCAAGAAGAAGAAGAAGCTATGGGCACGACACAGATGACTTCCC